AGGGCTACGAGCAGGCCATCCTCGAACTTGAGATATTCCAGCTTACCATCGACCATGATACCATCTGGGTAAGAGGCGACCGTGAGCTTGTTGATGACGTCCTTGAACTTGGGTGACGCTGCTTGAATACCAGCAAGTCGCTGACGTGCCTCATCTCCGGGACGACCGAGCGCCAACACCGTGGGGTCCAAGACGATACTCAAGTGCGGAGCGAGTCTATCCTCAGACCTAGGACCGGACAATCCCATGTTGTCTAGAATTCTGCTCAGTGCATCAGCCTCGGCATTCTCCTCTCCAGTAACCTTCTTCATTAGAACCTCAACACCGTATAGTTGAATCTCGTCGAGAAGCTCCCTGATGTTATTTGCTAGCCTTTTCACCATAACTTTCTCGGTACTAGAGCAACCGGCGTGGCCGAGCTCGGCCCATGATAGAGCAGTCTGCGAGTCACTGTGGAAGATGACTCGTGTTAAAGGCAACGAGCTTCCGTGGTTAGGGGTAGCAGAAGAGAGAGCCGACGGACCTTCAACCACCACTGAATGAACATAAGTGACAGCCTTTGCCAAACTGATCAATTCCTTCCGGTTGATGTGGTAGGATTGTGAAGGACCCGTCCAGATGAATGCATTGCCGCCTACCAACCACTCAGCCACCCCACCCCCTGGTCCGGCATAGCAACAGTAACCGGCTCCGGACGGGCTGGCGTCGGACCAAAGTAGCAGCTCTTTAGGTGAGGTTTTGCCAGTTGAATGGCAACAGGGAAGGGATACATGTTCTAGAATCTCGGGAATGCATCGTGAAATGACCTTGTAGTCCCAACTATCCGCAGTTAGAGTAAATTTACCATCCCAACCATGCTTTTGAAGTTGCTGTCCACCAACTGTACGCAGTAGATCGCCACAAAGACGGACTTTCGGATGAACACCTAATGGGTCTGAACCCCAACCCGCCTGGCCCGCGACTGCAAATAACTTGCGACAGGTCCAGGTATGAGGTATTGGGTTTCCAACCACACCGATATAAGGAATAGGATGCTTAACACATGAGAAGCTAAGGTGGCCATCCTCAATCTTCCAGACAATGCCCAGGTGTCGAAATTCACAGACAGTATCGCTGTCGTTACCCTTTTCGTCCGGAAAGGAAAAGCCGGTAAGACTAGCCACCTTGTTGAGTGCTGCGAGGAAGCGATCAGCGACCAGGCTCGCACCACATGTAACCAGGACCGTGAGGTCATCGAGGTACAAGTATACACCGCTGCTGGAAAGTATCTCACCGTCGGATTTTTCCAGGAGAGACACCGCTGCTCCTAGTAAATGTTGAAGACACGCCAGCAGGGTACAAGGCCCACATTTTAGACCAAAGACCAAGCGGAGACTTGAGTAGACTTGCCCATTGAGCTTGAGGAAGTTCTTCTGAACCGTTCTTATAGAATAGAATGCCCGAGAAGCGTCTCTCGTGAGAATTCGGCTGTGTGGCGCCCAACGAAGTCGACAGTCCCTTAGTATTTGAGAAACGGTAGCACCGGGGTACCCGGCCACCCCCAAATGGCGGTTGGTTACTCTGCAATCCACCACCGGGCGGCACTTTGTAGTCTTGACGTGGCCATCCTTCGCTATTTGGGAGACCGGAAAGACTATCATGGGGTTAGCTGTCGGGCAACTTTTCTCAGGCTGCCACCAGGAGCGGTCGACGTACGACCTCACCTCCTCGTCGAAGCAGTGCTTCTGGTCATTGCTCAGCTTGCTGTAGAGTGCATGGCTATAATCTGCCTGTTGTTGACGCTCTTTACTGGGCGGAGGTGTGCTCCATCTAACCTCGTAGACGAACTCTTGCTCAGGACGGTCACGGATGTCGGCCTCAGTAATTCGCCGGCATCTCCATTGGAAGTCGGCCGCTGCGCCTTTAACAGGAGTCCAATCAGAAAGTAGGTGCTCCTCTAAGGGCTTAGACTCAGCAGCTTTCAAGTACTCGGCAGGAGGCGACCAAAGATATAGTATATGGTCATCATCAGTCACCCTCTCCGGACCTCCTACTTCGGTCTCAACGAGATCGTACTGGATCCGATCCGGGCTTTTTCCTTCGGGAAGCATCACCGGAAAATCCTCGTGAGGTTTGGTTACAGTAACGCCCACAAGACGGCCCCGCAGCTGGTCAGCCTTGAATGACAGTCCGATACCAGCATCACACATAGATACAACTCCGACTATTGCCTGGGCAGCAGAGGACTGCAAAACCCTGAATGTCATTGAGCCGACTCTCACCTGACCCTCCAGAGCCGACCGCCGTTGGTCCGCCAGTAGCACATACGAGACCATCTCCTCATCCAAAGGGAGAATTGGAAGTCCCAGCTTGCGAACCAAGCTGATAGGAATATAATTATAATAGGCACCAGTGTCTAAGAGACACTCCAGAGGCGGAGATTTACCGCCGAGTTGCAGGAAAACGGTAGGACCGACCCTCTTCTTATCTTCCTGAACTAGGTACAACTGTTGCTCGTATATATCGCCCTCGTCATCCTCGGTGCCTAATGATTCTTCGGTCTCTGGTCTTTGTTCCTTCGCCGGGAGAACCATAGAGGCCACAGCCTGTTTGGGCCGTTCATGACGGAACCGACAGGCCTTACCAAACTTGCACTTGCCGTTCTTGTAGTAGAATTTGCAGAGCTCTTTTGGATTCTTCGCTGTACTAAGATCACCAGTAGCTTTTATCACAGGTGAGCCTTGGTCTGCCCGAGCCCCTAGGCTGGGTTGCTTCGTAGCAGGTGTGGTCTTAGGCTTAGCGGAGGACATGGCACTTTCTAGGCGCGCTCGATGAGACAGATGCTGTACCAGGTGGTGATATGTAACCGATGACCTCGCAGTGGAAACATGATCCAGCGCTCTTTGTTTGGCATCTCCTGACAAACCTCGAATAAGACCTGTGAGCTTCCTGGAATCCGGTACAGGTTCCCCCATTTGGGCTTCAAGATCAGAGGCTGCTTGATCATAGCGTTTGACGAAAGCCTGCACTGGTTCATCATACCGCTGGCCGAGGGCGTCGAAGAGCTGTTCCGCTTGCCACTTCATCACTTCAGCGCTGACTCCGCGACACTGCTCCCGCAATTCCTCGAGAATACGGCGAATCTCGGAAACCCAGCGGTCACTCTTAGCTGGGAAACCCGGAGCTGAAGGAGAAATCTTGGTAGTCACACTCTCACTCAGCGACTGGACCAAGAAATGGTAGAGTCCAACCGCGTCGCAGGACAAGGCATTTGCCCGCGCCTGCACGATCAGCTTCTTTAGCCATACATTGAATAGGCGAGAATCATTGATACCCGAGAAACGTCCTCCTACAATCTTCAGTCGTTGCACGTCACTTCTTGTGCGGTTAGCCTCCTTGCGATCCACCACATACGACAAGTCAACATCGGCCACGAAATCGTTGATAGGGTCGGTCAGCTGTGAGCTGCTGGAGGTTCTAACCGAAGTCGGCAATCCGACATCAGCAGGGGTAAAGTTGACTGTTCGCCTGGTATCCGGGACCTGGCCCTCGTTCGACAAAGAGTAGAGAGAAAACGTCGGCCGCCCAGTTGGTCTGTCATTTGCCCTCTGCGGTGGAGTCCGCGTTGTATCACGCGAAGGAGTGGTGTCGCTCACAACAGGAGGAGGACGGTGAACCACGGGTGATACAGTCCCTTCTGCCGCTGCGATGAGCTCGTGGTCGAGACGAGTCTTCAGGGTAGGGCCCGCCTGTCTTAATAGACTGGCAACGGCGCAGAACGGAGAATAGTAACTCGTCAGGAGCGCCCTTCGGAGATTGACTGTGCCTGCCCTTGATCTTGCCTGTGAGAGTTGATAGAGTAGCATATAGGCTTGCCGGACCGGTTCTGGGTCTTCCTCGAAGTAGTCGTCGATGAGAGCCATGTACTGGGATTCGCGTTCTTCTTCTGGAATGTCGACCACAATCGCGCTTAGTTCTTGTGCAGCAGTATCGAGAGGAGGGCTCTCAGCTTCTAGGAGCCGCAGGAGTAGTCCCCGCATCGGAGCCAATGTTTGGGACTCGCTCCCGGGTGCCTCCTCTGACTGCATGCTCGACTCATGATCGGACATATTGGAAAAAGGATTTAATGAGTTATACCGAGATTCCCCGTAGCACGCCTACACACGGGCCTAGCACGTCTGTACAAA